AAAAAAAAAAAAAAAAAAAAAATCTGACCCACAAGTGTTCTTTCCTACTGCAAGTTTATTCACCCTGAGGGCTGGCATGGGTGCCTCACCACAACTCAGCTGCAGCCAAATGGACAGAGGGGCTGCCCCTGCAAACAGATCTCTGTCCTCATTGATCAGAGTCCACACGTCCTTGCTTTGGTCTTAACCCCACAATGGTGCTGTGTGATGGACTTGGGCCCCCAGCACCGTGCTCCAGTGTAGCCTAAGCGTGGTGTCCTGTCCCTGCCAAGCAGAGGGCAAGCTGTTCGTGGAGAGTCTTGTTCTCAACCAATGCATTAAAAGTGGGGCTTCCTTGTAATAAGACTTACTTTATGATTGGGGTTGACACATTTCCCCATAACACACAGCATCAGGAATCCCTGTCCTGACATAATGAAACATTCCTTCCTTTTCGAAAACAATACTGTTACTCTCTGGCCATCAGGCCTGTGTTTCGAGCCCTTTTTTCAGGATTGGTGGTAGATTTGTGCTTGTCTTTGCTTCATTTTCTCTTTCCTGGCCCCCAGTAGGGACAGCAACACATCTGTTGCCCCCACTGGGGAGACTGGGCTTGTTCTGAACTCGGTAGAGGAGGGCATCACCAGCCCTTGTGAGCCACAAGCCCCTGCTCAGATCCCTTACAGCCATGTCTCAGCAGCCACGTAAAGTGTGGGGTTGACATGAACCCCTAACTACAGCTTGCTCTGCTAAGCTGTTCTTTATAGTTTGAACTACCCTGTGGTAGGAGTAGATATTGGTTTCCAGTGGGAGGTAATTAGCACAATCAGCTACTTCTCTGCTGACTTCCTTTGAGAAACTCCCAAGCTGAGAATGTCTGCTGTTTCCCATCCCTGCTGGTGTCTGCTGTGCTGCCTCAAGGGGTTGCAGGAAGGAGATGCCTTCACAAAGCCCTGGTCCTGGTCTCTGCTGTGGTTTAAAGTGCCTGGACACAGGAAACCGGTATTCGCCTTCAGAGTGCCGGGGCAGAAGCCCAGCCACAGGTGGAGCTGTTTGTGAAACCTCCTGGCAGGGACTCTAATCCCTCGCTGTTGGCTGTCCTGGTTCTGTGTCACACAGATGGCCACAGTAAACCCAGAGTGACCAGCTCATGGACAGTGTCAGACCTCGACGTCGGGCCTGACTGCAGCTCCTCGAGACCCTCTACAAGCCCATTTGTAAACCGTATGTTGGCTAACAAGCTTAGTGGGAAGCTGTGTCCTCTTTAGTATGTACAAAATCAACTATCACTTGTTTTTCCAAACTGACAAAGGTCTGCTTATCACATCTAGACTTGAAAAAGATACCACACAAACATAATTTGTCCCTTTCTTCAGTAGACAGGTGTGGAGTTTGGGTGTGGCCACACCCACCCTCCCATCCTCAGAAAGGGTATGATACCAAGGGACAGATGCTGGCATAGCACGGGTTTTGTTTTGGAAGGTATTTTGTTTGTTTTTACAAAATTAAGATGATTTTCTGAGTTCATTATGAGGCTTTTAGTTTTAAAATCATACTAGAAGATAACTGTGTCTCTACAATAAAAGCACGTGAGCTTCTATACCTCCTGCCTTGTTCTGAAGAAAGGAGAAAATTGTATTTTAGTCCTCACTATGGCTGATTTCTATAAAACTTCTTGTTGCTGGGTGGTTTCAGAAGCAGGTGGACAGCCACATTCCCTGTGACTCTAAGAGCACAGGCCCTGTCCTTGGGGAGCCTGCAGGTTTCTGGCCCACACATCCTCCAGGTCTAACATGTGACCAGGAGGGGATGAAAGCACACATGTTCCAGGCCCCATGCAGCAAGATGGCTGTTGGTCCAGGGGCCTTGGAATGCCTGGCTGGGACCCGTGGGGCTTGACCAGAGCTGTCTCAGAAGCTGCTGCCTGGAGCCTGCGGTGTAGTTTAGCAACGTCCTAATTTAGCAGCCCAGCAGTATATGCAGCTGGGGTTGCAGTGCTGCTGCATCAGGTCAGTTTGGCTTAGGGGCAAATCATGTGCGGCTGTGGCTGATGGGCCCTCAGAGCGCAGTTGGGAAGCTTCCTTGTCATGTTCGATGAGTCCAGAGCGCTGGCTCCAGCGTTGCTGTGAGGACTATTTCCCTGCTGCTGCTTTGTTATCCCCTCCTGCCTGTCCTGGCAGATGGGATAAGGGGAAGGGGATGTGCCGTCTTTGCCAGGAGGGCCCAAAACAGTCCCTCTGCTTTCCGTCTGTCCCATGTTGCTGATGGCACTGGAAGCGTTGAACGCTTTAGTTCAGTTCAGCACCTGTGCCTGCAAAAGAAATCAGGAGCCTGTGTTGTGATGGACTTTAAGCCACTGTGAGGGGTCCTATGTTATTCTGCACCCTTTTTCAGTTTGGAAAATATCTGTAAAGGACATATCATTTCAGTGGCTTTCCTAAAACTTGGGGCTGATAACTGGCTTTCTAATCACTGCAACAGAATGATAGTCTGCTCCTCCTGCTACACAAATCAGTGGGAACTTGCACGGGCTTCCTGTGATCATAAGTTACCTTAGAGGGTGGAAATTTTTATCTTAATAATGAAAGTACTACAGGTCAAACCTGTTATGAAGTCAGAAGGTAAATCTTTTTTATTGCTCTGTGTAATTGTGTTTCTAAACAGTGTGTCAGGAGTAAGGGCCAGTGCTTATTTTACTTGGTGGTGCTGAGGTCACGGATTTGACCTGTGTTGAAGTGGGGCGCACCCATGGGCCCGCACAGTGGAGCCTTGGTTTGGCCATGAGTCTCTAGTAACACTTGAAGCAATTTGGGCACTGGCAGCAGAGCCCGTCCCCTGGTCTTGTGCACGGGTCTGTGGGCGCTGGAGGAGATGAGCAGTATGTGTGTGGCTGGTGGTCAGCCACATGGTTAACGGATCTGCATCAGAATGGGATGTCCCAGTGCTACGTTGTTTCTGGCAAGGTGTTATTCTTAGATTGGTTCAACTAACGTCAAGAAAAATTTTATTCAAGTTCTGTGTTCTTTTCAAGCTAATGATGGAAACTGGCCAACATTAAAACAGAATTCTAGCTCTTCAGTGAAACCAGTGCAGGTGGCCAGCACAGACTGGAAGGACACGAGCGTGGAGGGGTCTGTCAAGCAGGGCACCGTCTCCAGCCAGCCTGTGCCCTTCTCAGCACTGGGAGCCACGGAGAAGCCGGTAGGCCTGTGTCTTTATCACAAAACATAAGCAAGCTCCTCAACAGGGCACTTTTCTGCCTCAGTACTAAGCTAAAGAGCTGAGATGCCAGGAGGCAAGTTAATCCTGTGAGTGCCCAAACAACACCCGAAGTCCTGAAAGGGTCACTGGGCCCGAAGCGCCTGGGCAGCCACAAGTGCATGCACCTTTTGGTCAGAACTTTTGCGTCGCTTTTGCAGACAGGCGATGAGCTCAACGGTGTGCCCATGTCTTGGTCACAGCCGATTTGACCATGACAAATCCTTCTGTGTATTCTCTCGGGACTGTGGGTGGCAATATGCCTAACTGTTCAAAGGGTGACTTTGTTTTTCTTCACCTAAATTTAGGGCATCGAGCTTGGTAAAGGGCCACCTCCCATCCCAGGTGTAGGCAAGCAGCCGCCTCCAAGCTATGGGACATATCCCAGTCCTACGCCTCTGGGTCCCGGGTCGACAAGCTCCCTGGAAAGGAGGAAGGAAGGCAGCTTGCCCAGGCCCAGCGCAGGCCTGCCAAGTCGACAGAGGCCAACCCTGCTGCCCTCCACAGGCAGCGCCTCCCAGCCGGGCTCCTCACAACAGATTCAGCAGAGGATTTCCGTACCACCAAGCCCCACGTACCCACCCGTGGGACCACCTGCATTTCCAGCTGGGGACAGCAAGCCTGAACTCCCACTGACAGTGGCCATTAGGCCCTTCCTGGCCGATAAAGGGTCAAGGCCACAGTCTCCCAGGAAAGGCCCCCAGACAGTGAATTCAAGTTCCATATACTCCATGTACCTCCAGCAAGCCACGCCACCTAAGAATTACCAGCCGGCAGCACACAGCGCCTTAAATAAGTCAGTGAAAGCAGGTAGAGTGGGCTTATACTCTCTTTTTTGGGGGCTAGGAAATTATACTTTTAATTAAGAAAATACTAATCCATAATCCTTACACTTGGGCCACGTGCTATTTAGAATTAAACTTAATTCTTACATAAAAGTACAGTCTTGGAGGCCGGGCGCGGTGGCTCAAGCCTGTAATCCCAGCACTTTGGGAGGCCGAGGTGGGTGGATCACGAGGTCAAGAGATCAAGACCATCCTGGTCAACATGGTGAAACCCCGTCTCTACTAAAACTACAAAAAATTAGCTGGGCATGGTGGCGCGTGCCTGTAGTCCCAGCTACTCAGGAGGCTGAGGCAGGAGAATTGCCTGAACCCAGGAGGCGGAGGTTGCGGTGAGCCGAGATCGCGCCATTGCACTCCAGCCTGGGTAACAAGAGTGAAACTCCGTCTCAAAAAAAAAAAAAAGAAAAAAAAAAAAAAAAAAAAAAAAAAAGTACAGTCTTGGGTGTCAGTGTGAGAAGGGAATGGAAGCTGCAATGCATGGAGGAAGCCGTTTTGCAGATGGCTCACAGTTCTCTGACTTCCTGTCTGAGCAGCCACCTCCCTGAGCTACTTAGGAAATCCACCTCTGGGAAGGGTGAGATGTCGAGAATTTCCTCTTTTCCTTCTGCTTCATGGCAACTTGTGCTAGGAGCTGCCCTGCGAGTAGAGGGTAGCCTTGACCATTGGCCCTTCTGGCAGTGGCTGAGCCCAACCCCTGGGCATGGGCGACTTGAGGAGGGCATCTGTGGCTTAGGAGCTTCCCCACAGCCCAGAGGGGAGGAAAGCCTTGGTTTGGGTTATGGAGCTGTTGTAAGAAGGCAGCTGAGGGAAAGTAGCTCTTAGTTCCTCACCTACCACAGAGGCCGATGCTGTTTCCAATTCTTAGGGAGGAAACCACGGGTCAGGTCTAGGCTAGGGCCTCCTTCGACATCCTTGGGCATTGGCTGCAGCTTCTAGACTCATAGTTGAGGAATTCCTGGGACTGCCTCGTGCACAGGGCCTCCTAGGTGGTGGTGCAGTGTTCCCTTGTGGACAGGGTTCTGGCCGTGGTGGGAAAGGCTTAGACCATTCACAAGAGCTCCTGGGCCGCCAAGTGAAACTTTCTGGCTCTGATGAGGTACACGTTTCTCCATCATCTGAGTTAGTCCAAGAATCAGATGCGTGTTTAGTGGTCTCTAGTCTTTTTCCTTGGCCAAAAGACAGGAAGGTTTGTCTGCAGCAGGGAGAGTCAGGTTAGCAACCTCTTTTTTTCCTCTGAAAATGACCTGGTTCTGGAAACCCAAATGTAGAAATCGACACATCAGAGAGGCATTGGACCTTTCAGAAGGAGTCAGTGGAGGCTCTAGGAGGAGGAGGAGGAGGTTTCCTCAGAGATTTGAAATTAGGATTGAAGAGCAGCGGCAGGTGTCGGCGTCTCTGCAGGAGCCTGTCTCTGGTGTAAGCAGAGGTGCATATGACTAGATCCCACAGTGAGGTCGAAATTGCCTCTGTCCTTTGTGTCTCCTCCAGTATACGGTAAGCCTGTTTTACCTTCGGGTTCAACGTCTCCATCGCCACTGCCGTTTCTTCACGGGTCACTGTCCACGGGCACGGCACAGCCTCAGCCACCTTCAGAAAGTGCTGAGAAAGAGCCCGAGCAGGACGGCCCCACCGGCCCTGCAGATGGTGGCACTGTGGAGAGCCTGCCACGGCCACTCAGCCCTACCAAGCTCACGCCCATTGTGCATTCACCACTGCGCTACCAGAGTGACGCAGACCTGGAGGCTCTCCGCAGGAAGCTGGCCAACGCGCCCCGGCCCCTGAAGAAGCGAAGCTCCATCACAGAGCCCGAGGGCCCCGGTGGGCCCAACATCCAGAAGCTGCTGTACCAGCGCTTCAACACCCTGGCCGGTGGCATGGAGGGTACCCCTTTCTACCAGCCCAGCCCCTCCCAGGACTTCATGGGCACCTTGGCCGATGTGGACAATGGAAACACCAATGCCAATGGAAACCTGGAGGAGTCCACCCCTGCCCAGCCCACAGTCCCGCTCCATGATGAGCCCGCCCCGTCGTCAGATGCCAATGACAATGAGTTACCTTCCCCCGAACCAGAGGAGCTGATCTGTCCCCAAACCACCCACCAAACTGCCGAGCCGGCGGAGGACAATAACAACAATGTGGCCACGGTCCCCTCCACAGAGCAGATCCCGAGTCCTGTGGCTGAGGCCCCGTCTCCAGGGGAAGAGCCGGTCCCTCCAGCACCTCTTCCCCCCACCAGTCACCCTCCCGCCACCTCCACGGTGGGTGTCATTGCTAGACCAAAGCCTGACCTTCCTGGTTATTCATGCAGCCTGGACCTCTGGGGTCCTTCCCTTGTGTCAGGCTGTCCTGGGAGCAGTAGGAGCCAGGCATGTCCCTCCCACCCTGAGTTAGGCCTGTGGGGAGGAAAGACAGTCACATGGCCACACAGACAAATGGGGCATGAAAGGGCACTACAAATGGGGCTTGGCCACACAAACGCACCATGCAGCCAAGCCTTCCCCAGACAGCTGGCCAGGGAGCTCCAGAGTCTTTCCTGAGGAAGGGGAGCTGTCGCTGGCACCTGAAGGTCCTGCAGAGAAACGAGGGAAGAAGCATCTAGACAAAGGCCCAAGGTGGGAGGTCAATGTTGATGGAGCAGAGAGGGAGCCAGGTGCCATCTCAGGGAACCCTCAATGGGGTCCTCTCCACTAGGATCTGGTGCCGTAGCAGGAAGAACCCTATTGCGCCAGGGCAGGAACAAGCTGCTGGCTCCCGTCAGCCCCTTGGCAGTCACACGCCACACTCCCTCCTATAGGGTCTTCCCAGGAGTAGCCAGAAGCCCAAACACAGCCATGTCCCTCTGTGAGTGAGCCAGGGACTCAGGCCCCAGAGCAGTGCTCTCCCTCACAGCGAGCACAGAGTGGCCCATGTGGCCTGGCCCTTATTTGGGGTGGTTACCTGGGTGCCGCTTCTGCCTCTCCAGAGCTGCTCTGTGGAGCCTCTGTCTCTGGGCCTTAGTTCTCCCCACTCTTTCCCAACAGGCATGGGTTCTTAGACTCTAGCGGACCACCTTTAACTTGAAAGTGTGCTTGCTTCCCAACAGAGCAAGCGGACCAACTTGAAGAAGCCCAACTCAGAGCGGACAGGGCACGGGCTGAGAGTCCGGTTTAACCCCCTGGCACTACTCCTAGACGCATCCCTGGAAGGAGAGTTTGATCTGGTGCAGAGGATCATCTATGAGGTGAGCTGCAGCCGGGCATTAGCGCACACTGCTGGGGGATAGGGGGCGGGTGCTCACAGGCCATGTGTCCTAGGTGGAAGATCCCAGCAAGCCCAACGACGAAGGGATCACGCCGCTACACAACGCCGTCTGTGCCGGCCACCATCACATCGTGAAGTTCCTGCTGGACTTTGGCGTCAACGTGAATGCTGCCGATAGTGATGGATGGTGAGGCCCGTAGGGGTGTGGGGTGGAGAGATTCATTTTCCCCTACTGTATATAAGGAAAGCATGCATGTTCTATACAGTCAGGGAGCAGGGAAGAGAGAATTAGAGCAAGCACACCCATCATTTCATCCTTGAAAGACAGCTGTTGTCAGGGGGTTTTTTTTTGCCTGTCCTTCCAGCCTTTTCTCTTGATTGTTTTGTTAAAAACATGGCTGTGGTTACGCTCCTCCTGTGCCTCATGATTAGCATTGCAGTCTAAGCATTCTGGGAATCATTCTGTTTCCCCTTTTTACGTGCTCCATATGAACTATTCAGACTCCACGCTCCGTGTGAAAAGCAGCCTTGGTGTCCCCTGCAGTCAGCCATGTAGGTTGTTGCACTGTTATCTGTTTGCCTTTGGGAGCTCTGCTGCTGGGCGGGTCCCATCGGTCTCCTGTCCAGTGAATGTTAGGAACTTTCAGACAGCTGTCATTGTGCTGTATTTGAATCGTGGTAAAATATACATAACATAACATTTCACATCTTAGCTATTTTTAAATGTGCCTTTCAGTGTGTTACGTACATTCACGTTGCCATGCAGTGTCATCTGTGGATGGGCCATTTCTTAACCCAATCCCTGTGTGCCTTTATATATAGTGTGAAACAATCGGCTGTAGAAATCGTACCATTAAAGAAACAGCACAGAGACCTGATGGCATCAGGCACACGCCTTCCATGAGGTTCTTCCAGGGCAGTCTCTGAGGGCACACCCTACAGGACAGGTGGCACTGAGGCAGTAGCAGTTCCGCACCTTCACCCGCGCTCTCTTCCAGGACGCCGCTGCACTGCGCTGCCTCTTGTAACAGCGTTCACCTCTGCAAGCAGCTGGTGGAGAGTGGTGCCGCCATTTTTGCCTCAACCATAAGCGACATTGAAACTGCTGCAGACAAGTGTGAGGAGATGGAGGAAGGCTACATCCAGTGCTCCCAGTTTCTATACGGTATGCAGGAGAGGCCTGGGGCGCGGTGGTGCTGTCCACCATGGTACTGCCATGGCAACAGTCAGCCTGTGCCAGAGAAGCTTTAGCACAGCCTTTTGTTTTTTTAAAACACGAGACAAGGTCTCATTCTGTCACCCAGGCTGAAGTGCAGTGTCACGGTCATGGCTCACTGCAGCCTCGACCTCCCAGGCTCAATTGATCCTCCCACCTCAGGCTCCCAAGTAGCTGGGACTACAGGCTTGTTCCATCACAACTAGCTAATTTCTTGTAATTTTTTTTTTTTTTTTTTTTTTTTTTTTTTTTTTTTTTTATTTTTTTTTTTTTTTTTTGGTAAAGACAGTGTTTCACCATGTTGCCCAGGCTGGTCCCAAACTCCTGGGCTCAAGCGATCTGCCCACTTTCAGCTTCCCAAAGTGCTGGGATGACAGGTGTGAGCCATCATGCCTGGCACACAGCATTCTCAAGCTGTTCTGCCGTCTTCAGGGGCAGCCAGGACGTCTCTCTCAAGTGGAGGTCACACCACCTCTTGTTCTCATTCCTGAAACATGTTTGAAAGTCCATGTTGTTAGAAGGATTCTGTGCCAGATTCCCAAGGAAACAAAATGACTTGGCTGTGCTTTGTCATTTTGTAGATGTTCTGTACCCTTGCTTCTGGAAGTAGGGCCAGCTCCATTCTTGGGGTGGCCTGGGGGCCTGGTCATTCCCCGGAAACATGATGAATGAGGCTCATGTCCTAATTAAGCTGCTTTAGCCGGGGCCGGATTTTCTCAGAGCTGGGGCATCTCTGTTCTGAGTATTCAAGAGTCACAAGTCATTTATTCCACACAGTAATTGAGAACATACTGTGTGCCCTACACTGGGCCCTGGAGATAAAGCTATCCTTGAAAACAGCCAGGTGATGCGCTCGACCCAAACCCCCACAACAGAGCCAAGCAACAAATGCTCAGGCTGTGTGGTAGGGCTGGGGAGGCACAGCAGCCCCCAGCTGAGTCCAGCCAGTGTGAGGAGGAGGCTGCATTCGCAGTGGCACCACCAGAGGGAGGGGAAGCTCCCCACGGTCACCACAACTGGGCCTCGGACACAGAGAGTCCTGCATAAGGGCCGTTTCTCGGGGACCTACGAGTAGCTGCTCAGTCAGCAGCTGCGGCTCAGTTGTGTGTAGTTTGTTCATTGCCATGACTAGAGCCAGCCACAGCGGCTCTGGTTAGTGACTTTAGAAATCTGTTCTCACTGTGATGGCTGAGTGTCACCTTAAGAACAGCACACCTTTGTCCTGTCTGTCCAGCAGGACTTAGAGAGGGCTAGCGGCAGGAGCAGCACCTGGGCCGGGCGGGGGAGCTGTCGGGCGGGGGAGCTGTCGGGCGGGGGAGCTGTCGGGCGGGGCCTCGTCTCCAGCAGCCTCTCATCTCCACCGCTGCTCTGTAGGGCCTGGCGAGAGCAGCCTCGGCAGACACATGACCGTGTCCCATTCCTTGAGCAGGACCCCTCTCTGCGGGCCATCCTCTGCTGAGGCCTGACCGATGTTCTCTGGTTCCAGGGGTACAGGAGAAGCTGGGTGTGATGAACAAAGGTGTGGTGTATGCTCTGTGGGACTACGAGGCCCAGAACAGTGATGAGCTGTCCTTCCATGAAGGGGATGCCCTCACCATCCTGAGGCGCAAGGACGAAAGCGAGACTGAGTGGTGGTGGGCGCGCCTTGGAGAACGGGAGGGCTATGTGCCCAAAAACCTGCTGGGGGTGAGCACTCGGGTGACTTGCTGGGAAACCAGCGGTTCTTGTCTCCCTACAGCATGTGTTCCTACCCTGCTGGGGGGCTGGGGAGGGAGGCTGCCTTTCTCTGAGCCTCAGCAGCCCTCTCTGTACAGGGGGAGGTACCTACTTGGCAGAGCTGACCTGAGGCTCAGGCAGGGCCCCAGGAGGTGCCCAAGCTGTGCTCCTGCCATGGAGGCCCATGTGGAGGCCGAGTGCCTCAGTGAGGGGCTGCTCAGTGAGCTTGGTTCATGATGAACTTCAGCAAGCAGGCCTGCTCACCTTACCCACACTTTCCCCAGTCTAGAAATCTCTGCGGCCTAGAAATTTCTGCAACGGAGGAGGGGGGGGGAACGTGTAAGCTGCTAGCTCTGTGTTGGACTTGTGATTCCATCAGTCCTCTGGCAGAGGGAGCTGTTTCTGCCCTCTGTGTGCCCTGCAAAGCTGCCAGGGCCTTCCTGTTGAGCCAGCTTCTTGGCCAGGCAAATACAGCAGGGAGCCAGAGACCCTTGCACAGGGGAGCTTATGACCTTGAGAGCCACAGGTGGTCACAAGTCTTTAGGTGGCATGAAGTGCTGTGAGAGACACAGGATGCCCCCCCCCCAGAACACCCTGTTTCCCTCTCAGCACTTCAGGCCACCTCAAGACTTTCAAGGGGGGTGGGTGGTCTCAGTGTAGAGGTGCAGCTGAGCATCGGCCGGAGGGAGAAGGTGCTGTGCGGCTGTCCGGTGGCCGAGGTGAGGAGCAGGGGTCAGTGTGGCTTCCCGTCCTGACACAGCTCCGTTGCTTCCCAGCTGTATCCACGCATCAAACCCCGACAGCGCACGCTCGCCTGAACTTCCTTTTGGAGCACTGCGTGGTCTTGCCAGCTACCAGGAGCCACTGAAGAGATTATTCTGCTGTTTTCCCAGGAAAGCTGAAGCTAGGAAATGGTCTTAATGGTGCTCACTTTAGCAGACAGCGTCCACAATGTGAATCCTGCAGTTTCTAGGTGAGGCCCTTTCTCCAGTTTGCCCATAAGTGGGAGAGGTACTTTTGCCTCCAAGGACTGAATTTTGCCAATTACTGTAAATCCAAATAAATACCCGCTTTCCAAACACCCACCCCTCTTGCCAATAAGTCCTATAATTAACCCCTGGTTGGTTGCCAGTGAAGACAAGTTCTGACTGAGTTGGCCCCAAGGCTGTCACCCTCTAGCAGTGAACGCTGTCTGCTGCTGTGGGGCGCGCTCCCCTGCGACAGCCCCGCCTCCTGTCCCAAATCGGAGACTCATCCTCCTCCCCATACACGATCCTTCTTCCCTTCATCACCAAAGGAGCCTCTGTATGGAAACTTCTGTCCAGTGTGCTGCCCAATGTGTATGCCTCCCAGCAACCACCCTGCTTGGCCGCCTTGGGGGGTTCTGCTTCCTTTTCCAGGTGCTGCTCTAGTTCACCTAAAGGCTGATTGTGCAGGCCCGGTGCTGTGGCTGGACTGCTGCGCCATGGGCACCAGGGCCCCCCCAAGACCAGGTGACAGTCAGGAGCACCTCAGCATGGACTCTTCTCCCTGATCTCACAGCCTCTCATGCTGCTTAGTGTGATTCTGACCCTCGCAAGCTCGAATTCCAGTTCTTTGAATGCAGTCAGGCGCTGGAGGCCATGGCAGTGGAGGGCAGTGGGGGTTGGGGGCTGGACTGGTGTGAGGGCAGAGCAGGGCCAGATGGACGGGGATGTTTGGTGCCGGAGGGATGGCAGGTGCCTGGTGTCAGGAGGGGCCGCCACCGAGGGGGAGCAGCTAGGGCAGAGGAGCTGGGGGCAGGGGCCACCCCTCTGCTGCTGGTCTCCCTGCCCAGGCTGGCTGTCAGGCCATCACCTTTGTCTGAGGCCCAGCCTCAAGGCAAGGAGGGTGCACTTCACTGAGGTGTGAATTGTACGTACAGGCTTTTTATATACCAAAAGTATTTTTTGACTAGACCATTCAAAGCTCCCCGAACTATGTTGGAAATTTTTTTTCCTCATTAAACTACAGGCCCTTAGGCTCTATTTTCATGTATGAGTCTTGTGTGTAATTTATGTATAGATGTGTGTAGTGTCACTGAGGCAGCACTGTAGCCCAACACCTTGGAGCATTGACTGACTGTACATAGTGTGGTGAAGAAAAGTGAACTCCATTGTGGAGCAGCCTGGCCACTGCCAGCCCGACACTGCTGACGCTGTGTAAATGTGCACAATAAACCCGTCTCACCCCGGTGGCTGTGAGTCTTGTTTCTGGAGCCAGATTGCGTTATGGTATGCCGGCTCAGGTGATCTGGACACAGGAAGGCAAGGCCTTGTCCGTATGTTCAAAATAGGTTTTAATCATCAGCTTGATATACAAATTGCTGTACAGTCATCTTAATAAAGTGAAATAGTGAGTGAAAAGTACAAAACAAAGCTCTCACGTTCCCCTTAGTGAAGTATCAAAGGATCACTCATAGCCCAAAATTAGTGACAAGGTAAGTGGCCAGTCTGTAAAGCAGGCTAAGGCAAGTGCTGTCAACTGGCTGTTACAGGCGAGCAGGCCCCGCTGCAGATCAGAGGCCCGGGTTCCTGCTACCCAAACCTTCTGTGAAGAACGAATGAAATGAATATTGATGGGCCAGAACCTCCCAGTAAACCTGGGAACTCACAGAAATGGTATATATTATGCTAAAAATGGTTCAGCAGTAGTGTAGCTCAGTCTCTCCCACCCCCAATTAAGTATTAACAATACACAAATTCTAAAACATGAAGCTGTTTAAAGCATTAATAGACTGTGAACATATTGCACTAGATAGGTGAACACTCTGTTTCTCCAAATAGGTGAGCTGCATTTCCCAGCACAAGCAGGGTTAATCCCCGTGGTGTGCAAGGAGCAGGCTGCTGTTCCGAGTGACTCGGTCCTGGTGACCATGTGTACTCCAAGCTCAGCCCCACGGAGAGTTACTGGTCCCGAGATTCGTAGAGGAGCTTGGCAGCCTGCAGGGTGACCAAAGACAAGATCAACACAGAGAGACCTGCTTGGTCCTACGCCTGGTGGAGCCAGGCCTGTGTGCGTTTCAGGGGGGACGGCGAGGCAGCCCAGTTGAAGGGGAACAGGTGGGGGGTGGGGGCCTCCTAGGAAAGGTGAACTTTTGCTCTAAGACAAAGGGCCCCCCTGGCCTCAGGTACCTTGTGCATGGCCACTAGCCACGCCACCGCCTGCCTCCTGCCCACATTCGCGTCCTCCGCTGCTGTCAGCTTCAGCTGGGTCACGCCCTCCGTCCCTGGCACCATATACTGCAGGAACATGCCTGTGGCCCGTGCGTTGCCTCCTAGAGGAGGGAGACGAGGTAAGAGACCCAAAGGAGACCCTGAGTGCCCAGGCGGCCACCAGCCCCAAGGCACTGGTGGCCAGGACACCTTCCTAACCTTGTGCTGCTCTAAGAGTAGCCTCGTAGTGAGGGCTGGTGCTCAGGAGCACCCGGGGATCACCATCTCCTCAGGCCTCTGGGAGGAGACCCCAAGCTTACAGGATAACAGCCTGGTGCCTCCAGGGCCCAGGACAAGCGAGCCACATCACCAGGAACTGCCTGAGAGGTGCTGCTGTGCCCTTCAGAGAACCCCCAGACAAGGCTGGCTCTTGCAGAGGAGCCCACCTGCACCCAGGGCTGGGGAATAGTGGAGGCTCCCTCGAGAGCGCCCTGGCCACCGACAGGCCAAGCAGATGCTCAGGGGCATGGCTTGTCACCCTGTTGAGAAGCAGGGCTGGCACAGAGGGGATCAACAGTGCAAAGGCCCAGTGCCAAGGAAATGCCACCCCAGCCTGGACACAGGCTATCTCCCCAGATCGGACACCCATGCTGGGGATTGTCTGCTGGGACCCAGGCTCCCTGCCTTTGGGCGATAGCCAGCTGTTCCAGTGACGACGACTCAATTCCAGCACTTGCTCCAAGAATAAACCGCTCAAGAGAGTGGCTCTTCAGTCAGGGCTGGTGTTGAAAGAGCCGTGGGATGCAGCCTCCCATGAACTTGGTGACTCGAGGGGAGGCCCCATTGTGAGCAGTCGACCTCTCGGGAGACTCTGCCATCAGACACATCTCCCCATCAGCATCCAGGCCGACTCTTCTGCCGCAGGTGGAGTGGGCGCCGAGGCTGCAGGTGGGCATGCAGCGACCACGCTTGCTCCGGAAGAGGCTGGAGCAGCCTGTGATGTGCTGTCCCCTAGCAGGCCCGACAACCATGCCTTT